ACGGACAGACGGACAGACGGACGGACAGACAGACATGGCTTAATCGATTTCTTTTTTCATCCTGATCATTTATGTATACATTTGTCTATATCTATCTCGATTCGTTTTGGCTGTTACAAACAACCGTTATGTGAACAAAATTAATATACCCTTGTGCACAAGTGCGCTCGGGTATAAAAATATGTTAAAGTTTAATGGCCTTATTCATAAAAAATAAAGTAGGTTTAAAGAGCTTTATAAAGTGACGTTTTCATACGTTTTTCAGTTTATATACGTTTTTTAAAGCTACTTTATTTTTTATGAATAAGGCCATAAAACTTCGGTGGAAATTTGTTGAATTTTTATAGTTATTGTAAAGTTGAAAATGTGGATTTAGATGGCTTTTGCTATATGAGTGGATACATATCAAAGCTGCCTAAAGATATCATAAGAAAATTTTGGGAAATCGCGGTTCTTTCTTTTCTTTCCGTATATTTCAAGTAGCTTTTGCGAAACTAAAAAATTTTTACAAATTAGCTCTTGGAAACATTTTTCACGGAGTTTAAGCCATATTCATAATAAAGAAGTAATTATTTTGGACTTCAGCTCGTTTGAAAAATACCATATCGATACCTGAGTGGGAGTACAAGGAGATTACAACTCAAGGGGTGTAATTCCTCTTATTCGGTAGAAGAAAACGAGAGGAAAAAACAAAAATTAAGAAACGAAGAACATTGCCGATCACCCCATGGTAGTATTCTCCGGCTTGCTTCTTATCCTTGTTTCCACTTAATATCGCAGTGCGATTTCTTGACCACGGTGGCGTATGAGCAACTTTATCATTAAACGCTTGTTGGTACATACATACGTACATAATATTAAGTGTATACATATGCATTTGTATGTAGAACCAGCTGTTTTATGGAAAGTCAAATGTATCGCTGCAAAAATCCCACAAAAATGAACTTTTGATCTCTTTATATGGAATGAATTGTTCGCTTTTGTTCGAACATATCCTTTAAAGAGACTAATTTTTCCTCTTTATACCCGAACGGGTATAAAAAGCGACTAGCCACTTCTAATAATAAAAATCTCCGCCAACTGCGATTCGAACCAAGGCTCGCAGTTTTGTTAATTTTAAGCGAATACTCTCTCTTTCTATGCATGCACGTATTCGATTCGTTTCTTCCCCCGCATGAATTGAAGAATATATGTATAGCTCAGCCGATACTCAAAATTTTTTTTAATAAGTAATACACTTAAACACACAAAATCTCAAATTCTTAAACAATTTCCTTAAAACATTTAATTTCTATGAGCATTCCGCTCCACCTACAACACAAATTTCCGGACTCGATGAATCACAGGTCAGTCCACTGGGGCAACTACCGCTGATGCTACGCAGCAACAATGTGCTGTTACATTGCGCAAATGTTGTTGATGTGAGACAGGTAAACAGTTTGCTGCCATCGCAGACACCACATCGGCTACGTTGCTTCGAACAATCGGCCACCGCATTCGGCACGCATTTCGCATTGCTGTCGCCGACGCACACATTCGCTTCGGGGCAAGTGAAAATCTGCGAAGTGTCTGCAAGTCCGTGGGAACAGATGTGAAAAGTATTCTCGCTGGCACAGGCAATGCCATTGAGGCCACAGGTGTGACACTTGGCCGACGTCGGAGCGAATACGCAGGCTGCGGCGACAAGGCAACTCTGCAAATGAAACGATTTCGTAATTAGAACTTATTCAAATAAAATATTTTCTATATTTGTGTGGCTTACTAATAAGAAAATTTGTGTACAGCGCATTGTGGGGATGTTTTGCGCTATAGTCAGCTGGAATCAACTAAATTTGAGATTTCTATTGCACTCAGCTTTATAGTCGGCCACTGTTCTGGTGGAACATTTGATAACACCAAGCATGCGCATAAAACAAAAATATTTTGAAAATAATACATTCATGTGTGTAAGTGTGTATGTATAAAAAAAATAAATTAAACTTACCTGCAAATATTTGTATCAGGCAAATCTGTTCATGCGCTTATCGTTCTTGTTAATCTCAGGGATAAACGAGATTTATGCTAAACAGCTACTGAACATACGCCACTTAGCGGTAAACTACTTAATGCTTATCGCAGAAATTTACTTTGCAGTAGGAATTTGTTAGGAATGTTAGTAAAAAATATCTAACTTTGACGGAATGTGATTCAGATATATATTGATATTTGTATCTTCAGATAAGATTTTTTACAAGCAATATTCTAAGAATCCGTATGCCAAAAAGTAAGCACTAAACGCTCCCCATTCAAGGTTATTCAAGTGTTATTTCCGAGAAAGAGGAATGCCAACGGAAGTACGTCACGTTTTCGGTCTCAATTCAAAGCGGAGAAAATAATCGCTCGTCCTCCCTATGTTCAAGGAGATCGTAGCAAAGTTCATGAACCATCCATAACATTTTACTTAGAATAATATTTTCTGTTAATACTATGAGTACACAAACACAGCTACATATATGTCTGTGCTTATGCATAGGTAAGTTTTAGTGAAAATATTTGTTTTCCTTGGAATAAGGGGCACGTGCAAAATTTACACATACATATATATATTACACTTTCCTCAAAAACATTTACATATATATAAATGCACGCTTTCATAAAACCTTAAATTTTCAAGATATCTGGTTTTCTTTTCTAAGCATTTAAAACAAGCAACACTTTTACCGATTTCAAGGGTTATCATAGGTCACGTCTGCCGCGTGTGGTAAAGTTTTCTCCTCACTACAAGAAGATGATGGAAAGTGTGTTACTTAAAACACTAAAAATATCGATACGGGAAATTAAATGGGATTGCAGACAGGCATTTTTCAGTTCTCAAAACCAGAAGAATTAACAGAACTATGTAGTTTTGGTTTGTTGTTTTGTATAACCGCTGCAGAAGTTCTCTCGTTGTCTAATTTTTTGGTAGTACTAGACGATCATGTTCAGGCTTTGCATGTCAAGGCCAATGCTGGCGTTACAAAATACATTTAGGGGATTCACATGACGTGTTAACCGTCGTAAAATCTTAAGCTTAACACTTGTTTATGTAAAATAGCGGTTAAAATGGTTGGGGGGTTGGCTAATTATATATTCTTTATCAGTTTAAAAGAATTTCGGTTTAGTTAGAAATCCCCTAAAACCATTTTAATTAAAAAAGATGTTAACCTTAAGATTTTACGACGGTTAACAGGTCTTGTGAATCCCCTAATTATTCATTGTTCATTATTTTCCTCCAAATGGACCGAGCTCTACACTGTGAAATGAGGATAACAACGTCAACTAAATTATACATAATTTCTCAATACTTAGATTGGTTATAATTACCAGTGCACTAAGAAAGATCTTAATTAAAAATTTAGATTATTACATTGGGAACTTTTAGTCATGACTTATGATATACTATTTATTTAATTTTATTTAATTATCATTGAACACCACCGGAGTATTTTTTATTGGAAACTAACCAATTATATCTCAATGTACAGCGGCTGTAATAGATTGCCGTTTCACAACACAACATGTTAGTGTTTGGCCGAGCTTCTCCTACGATTTGTGGCGTGCGCCTTGATGTTGTCACACAGCGGGGATCGACTTATCCGAGCGACGATTGTATTTTTATGAGAAGCTGTTTTTCATGGTAAAAATACAGTCGGAGATTTACCATTGCCCCGCCGACCACTATGAGAAAAAAACTTTTTTATTTTGTTTTATTTTTTGATGTTGGTCAGAAACCGGGCTTCAACCCAGGCCTTGCGGAATGATAGCGCACACTTCTAACCACTACACCATAGCGGCAGCCGCATATATGATGATAACATCTACTATTCAGTTGCCAAGCATTCGCGAGCGTTGTTTTCATTAACCGGTATTGGCTTATGAATCTTAGCAATTTCTAGTAATCGCTCTCAAAACTAAAGATATAAACGTGATTTTCAATTTGTTTTGGATTTTTTATTAAATTATTCTTCATTTAAAACTATTTCAATAACATTGTAACGCTTACATACATATACATACATATATGTGAATGGATTTATATTACATATACCAAAAACAAATGCCCCGCATCTAATTTTCAGGCGCTGCCCGATCACACTCTATTTGACCTTCCAACAGACAGTCGTCAACACAAATCTCTCCTCCTCTTGTAGCAGCACAAGTAAGTCCTGTGGGACAAGTTCCCGTCGCTACGGTTACGTTGCCATTGCATTGAGCGTAGGTGGTGCGACTGGTGCAGACAAACATGCCGCTATCCACAGTACAGCCACAAGCGAGGGGCTCACAGTCTGCCGGAGCATTTGCCGCATCCGAACATTTTAGCATTAGACTAGTGCAGGTGCCATTATTGGGGCATGTTTGAACGGTACTATTATCTGGCTGGCTGTTAAAACATAAATAGAATTCAGTTTCACTGATGCATGCAATACCATTTGTGCCACATACGCCACAGCTCGCCGTGGTTTGATGCACCAGCAATGTTGTGGTTGTAATTATGAGGAGCTAAAATGATAAGAAATACATATTAAAGAATACAAAAGTTCATGTATGTATGTATGTACGAACCAAAATTAAAAATGTCGCGTGTTGCTTCATTTTGTTACTGTTCTATTTGCTTTCCACACTAAGACTAAATTTGTCTAAATTCGACGGCCTGGTTTTTATATCACATTTGAGTTGTCGCCACTACGATGCATAATGATAACGGCACTTAATTCAAATGCAAATAAGATTACATGCATACATACATATTTTTGTATACAATCAAAATTATATAGCGAAGCTACATACACTCCTGGTGACTGTCGCTATGAAAAAAAACTTCAAAGCTCTCAAAGAATTGGTCGGCTGCAAGCATGCTGAAATCTGGTCCTACATGTGGAACTTCCAAATAGCAGTGAACTGAATAAAATTTGTTTAAAACGAAAGCTTGTATTTCGAAGTAAGGTAAGGATGTGTAGAACAGTGACTTTTAGAACATACAGTAGTCTTATATCGAACCATTGGAATGGGACAGCCGAACGCTGAATTTATTCCTTCTGATCTATACCCTTAACAACTGTAGAGGGATCAAAATTAATTTATGTTAAGGTTCCTCGCATGGATTCTTCCCTTTGGTACCACAAGTTGGAATCTGTCGGACTTTTTCGGGCCACTCAAGATCTGAATGAATTTTCAAGTCTTTTACTCAAAATTTCCGCCAGAGTACGGTGAGTTTATTTGAACTTCAACTCTGCTTTTGTCTTTCCGGCCGATTCTCTCAAGTTAGTCATCTGTCTTATCTCCACATGGCCTTATGCCATAATTGATCCATCTGTACAGGCAGCTGGATCCGGCGTTTTGTATGACATAGTCGGTAAGTAGCGCTTTTATATCAGATGTAAGCCTAATTAGGATGTTGCCGAATCGCCTTTCTTTCCGGAACCTTAAAGTCCACAATCTGTATGCAGCTGAATTTTCGATCAAAATATCTATCGGTAATAAATCGAAAAGTACGTTGAGCACCACCTTTGGGCACGATCTCGTCGAACTCGTTACGCTAAAGGAAGCTAACCTCTAAATTCCGCCGAGTATTTAACAACGTAATCCTTAGTAATGGCTAGCCAGACCGGCGCTACATATGAAAGTATGTTCGCTCTTCAATGTTCAGTCTCGAACTAAGTTCATGCTCGGGAGCTACTCCAAGATGTTTCGCCCAGTGTGAGAAATCCAGTTATGTACCTCTGAATGAGCTCCAACATAAGACTTCCATTAAGAAGACTCACCTCACAATTAATTTTAAGCCACACGTAAACCGGTTTATTGGATCCTGTTTAGCGTTTCTGAATAAAATTTCCTACAAATTTGTCTTTCTAGTCAATGTCTTAAAGCTATGTGTTGTGACAAGGCCAGACAAAACTAGATATTTTTTGATATTTCTAATCATTACATAACAAAAAATTACTAATTTAACAAAAGATTTGAATTTAACCTTCTACGGCGGACTTCTAATCGTATTTTGTAGTTTAACTAAATAAAATCTCCTTGGAAAAGTCAATCACACTTTTATACGCCATCACTCACACACACACAAATAAACCTAAACGACGTTTGGTGTTTGGTACATGAATCTCCGTAAACTTATCTTTGGTCGTAATCTCATTCCCAAAGTGACAGAATATAAATTATGGCTAGTTTTTTTTCTCACCTCAACAGGAAAATTATAAAACCCACAGTTTCAGTTGCTAGAAGTTTAGTTAGAAGAATATTTCAGCAGCAGAGTTACTCGTACATCCGACACGCAGCGATCCACGGCATATTCTCATTATGTGGAAAACAAGTGTAAGCATGAGCTACAGATTATTAAAAAAAATAAAAATGTTTACTAAAACCTTCACTCACCATCACCCTTAATAGTTGGCGATTCTAGTAGCTTTGTTGGTAGCGCCACAGCATGCCAAAGCCGAATGCAATGTCTGCAACACAAACAATGGCGTCGCTTGCACCACGAACACCACATTTCAGTTATGTTTTAACGGTAAGCATTTGTTCTCATTGGTGGATTCTTTAAAAAGCCCTATAAATTCTCAATCTTGCATGTGTCTAGGTGTACCACAGGGAACGACGTGGTCTTGTCCCAACGAGGGTGAGGTGTGCACCTCGCTAGGCTCAATTTGTGCAGATGCCGAAAGCAATTCTCTGATTCAGGCTGCTTGCGGCAATACCGAACAATGCGGAAATTGTGAAGCTGTCAACGATGGCGCCTACTCTTGCACCAGTCACACCACATTCACCATGTGTTCAGCGGGCGAAGCAACCACTGTACAAGGCACCTGCCCCAGCGGTCAAGTTTGTCTCACATCCAGAGCCAATGAGGGTGTTAGTCCCTGCGTCAATCAGTGTTTGCAGGACATAGACGACATGTGTGACTTGAGCTCAGATTCCACAACGACAACGAGCTCTGTTACAGAGACGTCGTCGTCAACTGCCAGCACTGATTCCACAACAACAACGAGCTCTGTTACAGAGACGTCGTCGTCAACTGCCAGCACTGATTCAACAACGACAGCGAGCTCTGTTTCAGAGACGTCGTCGTCAACGGCCAGCACTGCGACGTCTTCCACCGTCGAGAATACAGAGTGCGCGAGTAAGAGCTTGGTAGGGCGCTACCCTTATCCAAATGATACAGTGTGTAATAGGTAAGTGCATGCGCATCAATCAGCCACTGTAACGTAATAACGTAATAACGTAAATCCATTCAATACGTGTATTTTTTGTGATTATAGCTACATTTACTGCTACTACAGTGCCGCAGCTGGAACTTTACTCGGTCAAGCAATGACTTGTCCCACTGGCAAATACTTCAGCTCGGCTATAAGAAACTGTCAAGCTGCAAAGCCTACTGACTGTGTTTAAATTTAAGAGCCTTCGGATGGCAAATTAATTTTTAGTGGAAAAGTGTGATTAGTTTAAGATAATAATTATAAAAGCAAATAAATATCCTCAGCCCAGTGGACCGATATTTTAATGTTTACGGCTTTACAAACTTGAATTCAACTTGTTACTCCATTTACATTTGCATCATACATTTGTATGCACTGTGATTCACACAAGTGTTCGCATCATAATTTCTTTAAATATTCACAATGTTTCCGAGGTAAATGTTATTCGTTTAGTAATCAAAGTTTAAAACTATATGCAAAATTTAGAAAAATTGAAGGAATTTTCATCAAAATATTACACTTTTTAATACTACTTTCCAGAATGTTTTTGGTATGCAGTTTTGTAGCACATAAAATTTTGCTAAAATAAAGTGCAAGTTTCAAGCGGCTAAACACTCGCGTTAATTTTTGATATTTTTTTGTTTACTATTTATGCATTTTAATATTAAAAAAAAAATTAAAGTGTGAAGACTTGTTTGAGTCACTGTATATTCTTTTCGTAATCGCCATCATCGTCGATATAGGCATTACCATTATTGATGTAGTTGCGGTTATTGCTATCGTTGTTATCGCCATGAACGTTACCCTCGAGGCTTTTTTTGTGGTTTTTGGTTCCATTATCCATGTTCCTGATCCGGTATTAGTTTTGGAGCTATCTCAACATTTTCGTACATATCTATGCCGCAAAGGCAACGGTGACGCATTATCAATTAACGTCTAGAGCTCTTCCCCATTTATTTCAAGCTTACAAGGTGTTATAGGAGCCTCCCCTCGGATAAAGTCATTAGGTTTAGCTTCGCATTCAGAGCAGCCGGCGATCGTTCGTTAAAGTTTGGTAAGCAGATTTCCAACGTTATTGATTAAAATAATAACAGCTCTTGTTATTGAGGGGTTACTCCAAAGGATAGACCAAAGGCCTGTTAACATTCTCATAATGCTCTCAAGGCTTTGATAGTCACTGGTTCAACGTAAGACTGATATATATACTACATAAACACATATATTTACTCTTTATGTATATATGTATGTATGTATGTTTCAACAGCGTTCATTGGCTACTAGAGCGCTGTTGTCCTAACAAAATGTTTGAAGGTGGCCATTGGTATACCATCCTTGTTCTTCCCACGTAGTATGCGGGCGGACCTACCGTCCCTTGCCAATTCGCCAGTTGAAAGTCGGCGGCATTCAGTAATACTTGGCATTGTCCATGAGCGAGTCTAAAGTTTTCCAGGCTGTCTGACTACCATAGAAGATAAATACTTGTTTCTTCACTGTACATTTTTGAGCAAAACTTAGTGGCGCCTCCCGAACAGCCAAAGCTTGCTCTTGATATGTTCTGCAGTAGTGGAAAAGATGTTAAAATCCAGCTACGCTGGTTAGGTCATATCGTTCAAATGGACAGAAACGCTCCTACTCTGGAAGTGTTCAACGCGGATCGCGATGCTGGTAACAGAGGGACAGGAGGCCTCCTCTGCGCTGGAAAGACCAGGTGGAGAAGGACTTGGGTTTATTTGGCATTTCGAATTGGCGTCAGGTGCCACAGAAGAGAAACGACTGGTGTGCTGTTTCGGGCTCAGCCAAAATCGCTTAGGCGGTTATAGCGCCAATAAAGAAGAAGTCGAAAAAATGTATCTTTCCTCAGTTCGTTTGAAACAACTCCCTCTCCGTTTCTCCATTTAAGCTTGAAGCTATCTATATAAAAGTCTGTTACATTAGGCTTATAATGAGGCGTGCTACACTACATCTGTCGCGTGTGTAACAGTATTTTCGAATTTAGTATTGAAAATGAGTGAGGACATTAATTGGACGACACAGATTAGGTTAGGTTAGGTTGGGTTATCTCGGCTGCCCTTATCCCTCAGGAAGAGGGCGCACTTAGGCCACCATGGGCCCGTTGTGATGCCGTATTAGAAAATCCATATGTCCCTCCTCTTATCATATAAATGGAACCACTTCGTAGCTCTGATGAAGCGCTCAAAGTCATAGACACTGTCTGAATCCAGTTCGGTCAGACATTCAAAAGAATAATGGAGGAACGAGCATCGACGAGCTCTCACCAGAGCAGGACAGTCGCATAAGCAGTGCTCCACGCTTTCGATTTCCTTCTCATCGCGGCAGCAAACCCATTCAAGTGGCATGTTTTCCCATCAGGCAATGCCCGGTGAGAACTTCGGTACTGATTGGTATCGAAATTGTCGCTGACATGCTTGTCTCTCCATTTATGAGGCGTCTTTTATGTTTTATTGTTTCAAGAATGACCGTGTCTCGAGCAATTATACCAAACGGAGGTAGATGCAGATATATGTGGGCATAGAACAATTCCGCCTTGTTTGTATCCTTTGCAGTCGATTTCTTGAGTTTAGGCCCCCAAACTAAGACTCCATGGAATGTAATGGAATGGAAAATCATCGTATATATCCATTCTACCATCTTTGGAGAGAATTCCCAAGATATTCTGTTGCCTTTTCGTAGAAAACGTTTTGTTGGGACTATCTTAATGCGTTTCGCTGTGATGCGATTTCTGTCGAGAATAAATATTAAGAACTTGGCTCTGCCTTGGAAAAAATAGCCTGGCATCATCTAGTTGGAGACGTACGAAATGCGGCACTTGGTTTACTTATGACATTTTAACTTCTACAAAAAATGTTGCCTTTTCATTGGCCTCTCCTTAGAGTTTGTTCAAAGAGGGCAATGAAAGGGCAAACTTGTTTGGTAGAAACTAAAACGCCATTAGTTTTGTTGGATTTATCTCTTACTGACAGTCTTTAGGCAAGAAATGTGTTAAATGAGAGAGGTTTCCATAAAACACAAAAAGGCTTGCATCTGGGATCCAATAGGAACGAAGAGAAGACTTACTGTGTGCCCCTGTCAACTATCATTTGAATCATAACATCCGCCGGCTCGTAGCAGTTGGTGTCCTACCAGGAACCTGCCCATGGACTCGCTGAGGAATGCTACTGAGTATAGACATGTATTAATATTTTGTTTATGTATTTTCTCAACATAATTTTCGGCTATTATAGGAATCACTATATTTTGATATTTTTCGACCAATCGATCGATGTATGAATATATTTATGCCTCGCACTTACCTATATTTATTAGTTTTATTCGTATTGGTGTACGCGCCCTTAAATTAAAATTGCCCCACAACTTTACTTGTTAGTAGCTTGTTGATAATTTGGGCTAATCAAAGGTTGTTATCTAATTTTTTTCGAGCTGCGAAATTTTATCTTCTACATATCGCACGCGGTCTTCAAAAGTGCAATATTTCGAAATTTATAAATTTTGATACGATACTCTAAAAATGTTCAAAGACCATTAAATTACAAGTAGAAAATAATGGGGAAGTGTTATTTTTGCAAGCATGACAGCCAATTCTCCGCTTTCCGTATGCATAGCACGAGCTTGAAAATGCATCCTTTGTTCTTTTTTTTTAAGTGTTCTGATAGACGGAGAACTTTGAGTTAGCATTATTTCGAAGAACATGTGCGATGCGTATGTAGATATATTTGAGCGGTTTATAAATTTGTTAAACTCCTTATAATGCTTAGATTCAGAGGAAACATATTTAGTAAAGCATCTTAACTTCAACCAAGGCGATATTCCTCGGGTGACAAAATGTGGAAAATGAAGGTACATTACCTTGCTGAATTTTTAGATCCACTTTACTTAGACATTGAGGAAATAATATTCATAATTTAATTATATCTTAGCTTTGCGTTCAGCTCACAATTGCTTTAGTGATAATAATGGCAAAACATCAGTCTCATGCGGTGTGTAGTGTTTGTAACGGTAATGGAGTCGCCTGCGTCAGCAACATTACATTTCAACTTTGTTTTAACGGTAATCTGAAGCGCACGTTTAAGCTATGTGTTTCACTCATTTATTTCACCCACACGCCAGGCATACCCGACACAACCGCAACATACAACTGCCTCAATGACAATGAAGTGTGTACCGCGCTGGGCCGAATTTGCATCGATTCCTCCAGCAATCCCAATATACAGGCTGCCTGTGGCGATACTAAGCTGTGCGGCCAATGTGAAGGCATTGCAAATGGCGCCTACACTTGCACCAGCCGCACCACATTCACCATGTGCACGAACAACAATCTGACCAGTGTGCGCGGGTCCTGCCGGAGCGGAACGGTGTGTCTCACCTCGGTGGCGCATAGTGGCCAGACGCCTTGTGTTAGTGAGTGCTTATTGGATGTAACCGATATGTGTGATGTTGGTGTGGCCGTGGACGCCCCACCAAACGATGACTCGGCTATTACTACGGTGATATTTCAGCCTACGCCATCCTTGACGACGCTAGCACCATCTACCGGTACATCGCCAACAGCAACAACCTCCGCAGAACCAACTTCGTCTAGTCAATCTCCGGTAGCATCGTGTTCCGATCGCACACAAGTTGGACGTTACCCCAATACAGCGGACAGTGGTTGCAGCAGGTGAGAGAGTATGCTAAATTTGCTGCCGATTTATTAATTTTACTTTTATTTCTTTTAGCTATCTTTATTGCTTGAATTCCGTGTCTGGTTTGGTTGGGCGTATAATGTCATGTCCCGCAGGAAAATATTTCAATTCAGACATAAGCAACTGTCAAAGCACTAAACCAAATGGCTGTGTTTGAAAAAAAAATACGGCGCAATAAATTTACAATACCAAAAAAAAAACAAGCGGAAGGCTTAATAAAGTTCATGAATTATTCAACGGATGAGTAGAAGATCAAAATGGCTCAAGAATGTCCTACATCAAAACTTCGCTGCATAATCTGCTATCTCAGAATTTGATTGAAAATTTTAAGTCGAATCCTGAAATAGGGCGTTCTCTAATCAAATTCTGAAATAGGGCGCCCTTGAAAAATTTTTTGAGATAGGGAGTTTTCGAGTCGGCTGCCAAGATAGACAGATCTTCCACTTAGCCCTCCATATGACATTTTAACTTTACACTATCTTTAACTTTTCGGGGGCACAAAATTGTAGGCTTTTAGATTGCCTGTTTATCAGGTTATTTATTTAAAAAATAATATTCTCTAGTGTATTTTATTATTGTAAACTATACAAAAAAAAATATAACTACGTTATTACTAAAACATGAAGTTTTCCTCCTCATCTACTCCTTCTTAATTAGCTTTCAAATTATTAGAGCCATGCTTTTCTCTGTGCAAGCTAACAAGAGTCAAGCGGTCTCCCGGACTGT